GCAGGAGAGACAAATGCCAGGGGGCCAAGTACAGATGAGGAAAAGGGCAGGAGGGGAGGTGTCAGTGGGAGGGGGGACAGGGTGATGCTGGGAGAGGAGAGTGTAAGGGCACTGAGGGCTAGAGGGGGGAGGGGGAGGAGCTGGGAGAAGGCTTGAAAGAAGGGGTGGGCATGGGATGGAGCAAGGCATGTGTGAGGGTACAGGGGCATGAGGGTAGAGGGTAGTGAGGGGGTGGGCATCAGGGAAAAAGAGGGCAAAGAGCGCAGGGGCAGTGAGGGAAGGGGGAGGCACCAGGAGGGTACAGGGCTAAGGGAAGGCGCAGGTGCCAGGGGATTCTGGGGGTGAAGCAGAAGGCAGAGGAGAGAGGCAGGGCAGGTGTGTAGAGGGCGGTTTTAGGAGAGGGGATGAGGAGGGGTAGCTCACATGATCAGAGTGGGGCTATTGGAGGAATGGGCACGGGGGGAGAGAAGGGCTGGCAGAGGAGGGCCTGTCTCAGGAAGGCTGAGGGCAGTGAGAAGGGCAAGAGTCAGGACAGCAGAGGAGGGTGAGGGGTTGGGGGGCAGCAGGCACCAGCCCGTCTGGGGTGAGTTCTGAGCTCCCAGACCCAGCGCAAGCTGGAACTGAGCCAGGCTGCCTGCCCACCCAGCTCCTACTACACTTTAAATGCAGAGCTGCAGCCGGGGTAGGTCTTAGACATGTCGCAAGCCAAGACTGAGCCAGGCTGCTGGCCAGCCTGAGAAAAAATTTACTGGGGGGGGAGGGACATGCATATAGTCTATAGTCTTAACCAATAAGCTTTGGCTTATCAGTTAATCAACTACACAATTACATCCCTACTACCATTATTTCAGTGGCTGTTGGTCTTAAGCCGTGAATTGTGGAAAAGGGAGTACAACTTTATAAAAAAAATATTTAGGAAGTAGACCTTATCATGGGAAAATGATCATTCAGATAATCTTCTCTCCTTGTAATGGTTGCATGGGACCACTTGTCTCCCACCTCCTCCATTTGAAACTACATAATATTCTCGTGACAACTACAGCAACTGTTTCTAAAAGTATTATTAGGAAGTAATATAAAATATTTCAGCTGTCATTCAATGTAATTTAGAAGCAGGAAACAGGAAGAGACAAAAATCACAAGACCAGCCAACTTTCTGCAGGCCACCAACAATCCAAAAGTTTGCAGAAGAACATTTAAAGGAAACATTTTAACCTATGGAGGATGAGAAAAGAAAAAAAGCAAGTTGTCTTTTTCCTAGAAAAGTGCTATGTATGATTTACAAAGTTGGTGCTACATATCATTAATACAGGATATTTCTACAACATTAGATGAGCTGCCATCTCTTATTTTATTCTATTATAATCACAATTCAGCAGCATGACAACAGTCATAGGAACTTCAACATAAATAAAGTACAAGCCTTAAAAAAAAAAAAAACCCTCACACAACCACTATCAGCCAATCCTCCTCTGATTCACAAAGAAACCAGGATAACCATTGCAAATTCATATAATCTGTTGGCTGTTCAGAGGCCAGCATGAAATGAATTGGTGAAATAAAGCTCTTTTTTATTAAGCAGCGAGTCACATATACCTTATACACAGTGGTGAAGACACATATGACTTGTCTACACTATTACTTCTCATTTGCTAACCACTAGAAAAATGCTTTTAAGTTTTGTATGGAATGTCAAAAGGGACTGGTGGCTCTCCACCACAAGAGTGACAGACAACAACCGTGTTCCTTGGACAAGACAACACCTACCACATGTTTGGAATCAAACAAAAATCTTATTTAAAAAATCTTATTAAAAGAAAAAATGGTAAGAGCCATACAGGAGACAAAAGTTAACCAATACTGGAATACTTCTAGACAAAAGAAAAAAAAGCTAGCAGCCTGCTTACATTTATTAAAATATTTACATCTAAACATGAATACTAGGGATGTGAATGGTTAACTGGTAAGCACCTACTGGTTACAGTTAACTGATGGGGGCCTGATCAGCCCCCTGCCTGCCAAAGACAAGGGGCTACTCCAGCCCTGTGGAGCCTGTGTGAGCCTCCTCGCAGTAAGGGAGTTCCTCATCAATCCCCATTTTTAATCAGTTAACTGGTTAAACTTCACATCTAACCAGTTAACTGATTAAATGGGATTTTACATCCCTAATAGATGTTACAGATGACCCCAGAAACAATATTATAGATTCCCAAGTTGGACTCAGCAACCAGACTGATGATATGATCCTGGTTATTCTTTGATTCAAAAGATAGAGAGCAAATTTTGAGTAACGCAAAAGTCAAGATGCCTAGTAATCATGAGACAAAGATCCAGTTTTAAATAGGGATGTTAGCATAGAGTAAACAATTAACTAATAAGGCTAGGCTTGTCAGTTTATCCTATCAACCACAGGCACTCCCCTACCCCTTGCTGCCTCAGTATCAGAGGCAGCAAAGGTGGGGGGATGGGAGTCGGTGCCCGTGAGGAGCTGGTTTTAAGCATGCTCCCCATGAGCACCAGATCTGCCTGCCTTACCCCTCCCCCCCGTGCAGCTCCTCTGATAGAGAGGCAGCAACGCAGGGAGCAAGGGGAGCAGGCAGGAGCCAATACTCTCAGGAAGCTGGTTTTAAGACAGTTCTCTGCATATATCGGCTCCTGTTGACCTACCTGCCCTCCCCCTTGCTGCCTCCTATGGGGTTCTTACTGCATTTAAAAGGCAAAGGTACAGCCAGGATAGCAAGCACCCCCTCTCCCCGACCTCCTATCAACTAATTGAGTAGTGGATAGAAATTCCATCCACTACTCAATTAGCTGATTAATCAAAATGTAACATCCCTAATGAGAAGCAATCCCATTCCAGGCACATATAGTTTTCCTGGCACAACAAAATCCTTAAATTGCTTCAAGTTATGATCAGAGGAAACTGTAAACTGAATTTGGTGGTGCTAGCTCTTACTGTTTAGGAGGAGTTATTGATCAAACTGACAGCCAGCCAAACTCTCCACAATATATAGTAGATTCCTCTGTACTAACAGAAGACAGCCATGAGAGACTTTCAGGCCTTGTCTACAAAGAAGCCATATACCATTTTTCACTCCAATAAATCAAACTCCTAGATTTTTTCACACCAATTTAGTAAGCCAGTAATAATTTTTGTACATTTTCCCAGTTTAAATACAATATCAGGCCATTTTAATCTTTTACATAACTTACTAGCATATTTTCTGTAATATATTATCTGGTTTATTTGTTTAAATCTATCAGCATATGAACTCTGTTGCGCTCATTAAGATTTCGAGTTGTCACTTGGAAGACAAAATTTTCAACCTGAACTAAAGGTTGGTTTCCACATTCATTTTCTATTTCCCTGAAATATACAATAATACAAGGGAGATTTTTCATGTAACAGATCACTAATAAATTTTCAACTGATATATTTTAACATCATTTTGTCGCTAGAAAAATTAATGAAATCTGAACCCTCTTTGAACTGCTGCGGATAGTATTAATTTACTCAAATGATACAATGAAAATAGATCTACTGTACACTCTTTGGAGTAGTGTGAATAATAAACTCCCAGCAGCAGCAAGATTTTAGTTGTAGAGTTCTTGCTAAGTCAACTCTTTTTTCCAGAATGGGTTGCTAATTGTAATTTAAACACTGATTACAACCAACCACCTTCCAAGTTTAACTTCTAAAGGAGAAAGAGAAAAGAATTTTCAGCTACAGACCATTGCCTGCTGGTTTATCTGACAGCCATGGCAAGATGTACACTAGATATGCTCCAGCAGCACAGATGCAGCGCTTTAGCACAGACACTTACTAAAAGAAAAGAAGGGGTTCCTCCATCACTGTAGTAAATCCACCTCTCTGAGGTGCAGTAGGTAGGGTCAATAGAATTCATCCATCAATCTACTACTGACTACCCTTGGACTTTGGCTGACTTTACTATGCCTCTCAAAAGTGTCAATTTTTCACAACCCCAAGAATGGTAGTTAGGTTGACTTAATTTTCTAGCGTAGACCAGTTCCATGATTGTGAGGATTATTTGCCAGATGTTATTAACAAAATAAATGTAAGAATTCAGATCTACCAGATATTACAGATCTCTAACCCAAACACCGATATAATAATTAAAGGGTGTCACCAGTAATAGCATTTTAAATTAATTTATTGATCATAAAAGGTGTCAGTTGCAGTAGCAAAAAAAGAAGTTCTCTGCCATTCACAAATCAGAAGCACTGACAGCAAGTCTTTGCAACAGTAGCTTGTTAGTACACTTCAATTTAAATTGGTATTGAATACTTCAGGAATAAGAAGATAAATTTAATCCATGTCCATTCAGCCTTTCTTTCCATGCTGAAACTGCCAAGTGCAGTACAAATTACTGCTAATTTCAAGAGCAATCTTTAGAAGAGGGCACCTCTCTTAAAGAGCTCATCTCAGATGTGGGGAATAATTGTTTATGGGGGTCAGTCCAAGAATTTGCTAAGTGGTCGGGGTTGCACTTTTTTATGATACAATAAAACCTGCGCTATCCGAAACTTAAGCATCCAAACAACTGTAGAAACCGGCATATTTCTGACACTGGGAAAAGCAAAACAAAACCGGAAAAGGAAACTGGCCCTTTAAGGGCTGGGCTACTCCTCAGACAAGTGTACCTGGGGGAGGGTAGAATGGCAGCCAAAAGCAAGCAGCAAGTATCTCGGCTCCTGACACCCCAGGCAAGGCCAGCCC